CTAGCGACCATGCACGAGCCTCGTACGCAGGCGGCGGCGTCGTACTTGGACCCGATGCTGGGTGATCTTGAAGCGGGAAAAGCTACGCATTCGGGTGCAACAGCTTGCAACCGAAATACGAGACGTGATATTAGACCAGGTGCGTATCTTGGATAGAAGACCTTGAATAAAATAGGGTCAGTAACTTCAAGCTAGCCAAACGCATATTATTGAACCACACGATCGCTCTCGCAGCATCCTACGCACGTGGCTCGAGCTAATCGTCGCGTTCGTCTCATTCACACGAGCTGTTGAAGCTCCTCGAAGAAAGAGAGCGAACCACAGTCCACAGTGGGTCAAGCATAGTTTGATAAAATCACATGACGATGAGCGAAATATATAGAGCGGTCGTCGACAACCTCAGCGCAACGTGTGCATGCTACTAGTAGTCGTTGCGCGAGCGTGTCTGCCGGGCGGTCGCGTTTTTTGGCGACGCTGGCGGCGTCGATGCGCCCGCGCTGCGTCGGCCATCGTGGCGTGCAGGTTGTGCGTCCACGCAAAGTACTCGATCACGTCACGGCTGTGGCAGGCGACGGCCATGTCGAGAGCCATGGGCCAGTACCGCGACTCGTTGTAGCCACTGCAAAAGCGCACACAGAATTTGGGCAGCAGCGTGTTGGGACGCCACTGGAATCATGCTCTCAGAGCTCTTATCCAAGAGAAACCCCACGAGACCCACACTGCCGCTCCACCCTGCAAGCTGGACATGATTGACCTCGAAGGCGGTGATCACACACTTCTGAAAGAGCTCTTGCACGTAGCGCAGTCAACCATCGAGCATGCAACCTCTGTCAACCTCGGCAAGAATGGATCGGCGTCGTATGTGAAGGAAAAACGAAGCAAGTCGACAATGTCGCCGAAACAGGCTGCGAGAGAGATACCGCAAGTGACCGTGAGTGGAGCTTCCGTCGCCGCTCAATATGGCGCGACCTATGTTTCTGTGCATGGAGATGTCGTCGGCGTAGGTGTTGCACGTGCCGGTGCTTGCCGACGCAGTGGGCCCATGTCCACGAGCTCGCGCAAGAGATCGATCCGTCCGTACTCGAGCGCACAGCTAAAGACGAACATCGGGCAAAGCTGGGGCACAAAGTGGAGGCCGATGCGAGCGAGCCATGGCGCTATGACCGCGTGCACAGGCCCGAGGCTGGCGTCCGGCGGGTTAGGGCCGAGGCGCGTGAGGATGCGCACGTCTTGGATCATGCCCGATTGGTAGATCGCGACGAGTGGCAGAAGCTCCGCGCCCATTAGTACGGCGACGAAGCCCATGTCGTTAAGCTTGCGTCGTGGGCCGCTGGATAGGATTTGAACAACAGTGGAAGGTGTTTGGAACACATTTGTGGTGCGCCTTGAAGTGGCAGTGTGTGTCGCTGCTCAAGGGTACTTTGCTGACGCACAATTTCATTTCTTATCCGACCATGCAGAACGTGCTTCTTGCGAGACACCGCTGGACAACTTCTGCCGGAAGTGGCCATGCTCCGGCTACTGCGTTGCCGAACCCATCGAGGTGTTACAAGCGCCGGTGACGAGGTCTATTGCTTTTGCCTGCACCTTCGTTCAACCAAGAAGGATGCACCGTCCATATTGTCTTGTGTGTCGTCGACGCATGCATGGGTTGGTGGTTCCTACGAGGGTTAGGGTTTCTCTCGAGCCAGGCCAGCGCGTAAAGGGTGGAGGTGCCTTTGTACGGCCACCAGCAAAGGAAATCAACAGTAGGCACTGCGAACGTGAGGAATCTAGTGGCATCTAGTAGTCTAGCTGTTAAGGCGCTGGTGTAAAACCCAGTTGGTGCTGGGTTCGATCCCCGGTGGTGCCACGACTTTCCGATTCTACGCGGGTGTGGTTCAAAGGACATTGCATCTATTTGGTCCATATGCACCCGCGTATAATGTCTGGCGCATGGCGCAAGGGTCCTCGAACCCAAGCAAAATGCCCGTGGAAAGCTCTTTTTCTCTTCTTCACTCAACACCTACCAGCAGCTAGGATGCACCGGGTAGACCTGGCTCATAGATGTTGGTGCTCTACATGATAGGAGCTAGCGTATCGAAGCAGATACATATATGTTGTGGAGCTATGCTGTGAGATGCGAGCTGTAGCATCATATATCGAATGAGTGCGTGTGACTGAGAGAAACCCTACCCCTCGTGGGAACCGACAACGTATGCATGCGTCCAGGACACACAAGACGGAAATAATTAATGCACTGTATCATTGTTGATTCAAAAGGAAGATGGCTGCTTCAGTACGATGCCGAGGGAAGTGCCAAAGCGATGCGCTTGCTCGGATCATCCGTTGTGGCTTCTGCAGCTGCGTTTGGCGATCATTGCTTTGCATCTAGCCACGGTTGCTGTCGCGGAGGTTGCGCAGCTTCCGAACGTCTTGACGCAGGGAGTAAAAGACGGAGTCGTCTTCGGGGACGCGTTGCAAGTTGTCAAGGCATCTTTGAGCAAGCTGGTGCTGCTCGATGCCGTGCGGAAGGCCAAAAACCAGAGGCGTAATGACCCAAGCCGCAGCCGGAGAATTGCACAGCCCGAGAAGCGACGACACCGTGTTGCGGGGAAGCGTCCGTGGTTGCCGCGGATTGCGGGTGAGGTACGCGGCAGCATTGACCATGAGGCGACGCTGTACGTCGATGATGCAGTTGCGCTCCTCGAGCGCGGTGGCAAGCGGCTTGAGATTGTCCTCGTCGTCCGAGATAAATGGCACGAAGCCCGCGACACTGAAGCCGACGGCGCGGTCAAAGGCGATGAGTGTCTCGGACGACTGGTCGGTCGTTGACACGAGGTGCAAGATCGCCGGAATGACGGCCCCGACCTGGGACCACAGCGCGTCCATCTTGTCCAGGCAATTCTTGGTCACGAGGATGTGGAGAAAAGACGCGAGACCGCGCACCGTGGCGCGGTATGGCGAGTTGGTGAGCCACGTGATGGCGCCGTCAATAAACGACGCGGGGCAAGTGGCCGCCGTGTTGAACTGCATGATCGCCGGCGCCGCAATGTTGACCGGCGAGTAAAATGCGTCGTGTGCGATGTCCAGAACCACGTAGTCGAGCACCGATGGTGTTCTGTAGAGACCGACCAGAAAGGCGACGTGATCGACGCCCAACACCGTGGAGAGCCACGTCTTGGGAGCCTCACCCTTGTACGTGGTCACGTACGCCTCGAGCCGCAGCAGATTGACGACGATCTGGATGCGCGTTGCATCAGCATAAAGACGACGTCGCCGCCTTGATCGATGTGGCCACGTACAAGGCGCGTCGGTACATCATCTTGACGTACTCGAAGAAGTACGCTTGGTTCTGGGCGCGCCGGGCGTCGCGGACCCACTTGGTGCCGTCAAGACCGACGAGTTGCAGGACCAGCTGCACAAGTCCCGGAACATTTGGGTCTTGGTCGGCGCAGCGGTTGAACAGCGTGACGACAGCGTGTCCGACCTGCCGCCACCCATGCTGCGCCAAGGCGCGGAAGACCAGACGGCCGAGACTATCGGCCCGCGTCAAGCAGCCGAGAAACGCAACACAAATGGTCTTGCTGTCCGTACGCGGCAGGCCCATCAAACGCAGCCCGAGAGCCGTCTTGGCGCGGGGCGGTGCTCTGATGGCGTCCGTCGTGGTGTCGGTGAGGCTGGCGAGGAGCTTCACAACGAGCAAAGCGCGCTCGAGACCACCGAGAAGATGGACGACGGCCTGAAAGCCATTCTCGCGCTGAAGAATCTCATCGACAGCGCTGTAGCCGAGAAGCCGCAGACGGAGCGGCTTCGGCCAAACCACAAGGACGAGGGCTCCACAGCGCGGAGAGCCGCGCCAGCGCCAGACCTTGGTCGACGGGACGTGATCCTGCACGCGTCTCGGCGTCGACGGGACGGGGTGCATGACGAATGTTTCGATGCGCAGGCACCCACGAAGAGTCTTGACCCTCGTGAGAGCCACATCGTATCGTCCCGTCTTGACGAGAACGTCCGCCAGCTCCGTGTCGACCGGTGAGAGCTCCTTGAAGTTGGGGTCGTTCTTCCGGTTTCGCAATTGTGTGACTTCACCGCACATGAAGCCGTAGCGGCCAATCGGGTGGTTGAACTTGATCGCGAGCTCCCGCAAGCGCTGATTCGCCTCCGCGGGCGAGGAGAGCGCATCTTCATAGTCGGCGTCGGTGTTCGTCATGACCCAGCTGGACCCGGCCTGGAAATCTCAAAACTGTTTGTACGGTCATTATTCCGGAAAGAGACCCGCAAATCCAAAGGAGACGGTCAAATTGACGGGGTGAAATGGGCGAAACCGTCAATGCTGGTCGTTCTTGCTGCTGGGACATTTGCCTTTCATCCGGATACACTGGGTCAAACAAAGCTGGGGCTGAAATAGCCGCAACGTGCCCGAGCCCCACGACACCAAGGCCGCAACGTCCTCCGTCGTCTTTGAGGTACCTATCACGGCGCGAGGGCTGTGCGCTCATGGGCTAGCTCCAGATGCGGCGCCTCATTGCGTTGATCGGGCGCCATGATACGCTGGCGTACCTCGCGAGCCGTACCTCGCGAGGTCGAGGTTCAAGCAGCACTCGTGTGCGACCAAGACGGACCGGCGCCGTCACCAGCGTGCATATGGGCACGGTCAACAAGCGCACCCATGGCAAAGAACTCGACCGCCAAGTGATGGAACTCGCGTCGGAGCCAGCGCATTTGCTTCAAAGGCAGCAGCGACAAGAAGCAGCGCGACGTGCAAGTGTCCCGATGAACCTCCATGTATCATGGCCCGCCGCGTCACCACGCCCGTGCCGAGCCGAGCAAGTTTGACCTCTTTGACGCGACCGTCGGCACGGCGCCCGTTGCAACGGATCGAGCAAGGTAGCCTACTACGCATACATGAACCGCGGTGTGATCGCTCGATCAGTGTAGGAGAACCCAACGCGGATGCGACCGTCATGTGTGGTGTCGACGACCTACGCGGCCTCGGCGCCCAAGAAATCGCTAAGGACAAGATCGTTGGCGTCAAGACACGGATTGCGCTCGTTGCCAACCGTATCAAGAACCTCTACAGCCCGCGAGCTGCGCTCGTATCCTCGTTCCTCGCCTCGTTCGGGCGGATGGGCGTCGACCTTGTACCCCGGAGTACATACTTGATCTCGTCCCAAGACAAGAACGTCTGCTCTGGGATGCGTGGGCAACCATCAAGAGCCTCAAGCGCTCGTTGCAGCCGCCTCGTCTCGGGCGATGTCGAGATGGGGCTGCGCGCGACGGGAACCTATTCTCGAGCTGCTGGTAGTATCAATGTATCGAGTGGTGTTACGAATGTATGTATTGCGCGCGTCGTCTCGAGTCGCGCGCGTGACCATGTCCTGGATCGTCGACGTCGGCAGCCGGTACAATTCGAAGAGCTTGCGCTGGATCGAACGAGAGCTCGGATACGGTACTTGAGACGCCCGACGTTTGGCGATACCATTTCTTGGTCGGCGACGTGACCCAAAACGGGTTTGAACGTCCGCGCTTGAAGAGCAATCGCGCTTGGTCCAGCGTGACCGACTCGGCGGTACGATCTTTGCCGCGATTGCAGCAGGTGATACGGCACACCGCGTCCGATGCTTCGAGGAGAATGCTCTTGGCGGTTGTGTTCTCGGCTTGGGGAACCACCGTGGGTGGATCGGGCTGTTGTTTGGTCCGCCTCGACGCTTGGTGAAGAAGTGCAGGAAGCGTCCGACATGCTCACGGTCAAGTCTCTCAAGGTACCTCGTTCTGCAGATAGGTATCTGTCGCGCGATGCGACTGGATCGGCGTTTGGCATCTCTGCGCCTAGACTTATGGCAAGAAGAGCACGGTGTCAGCGCGCGTGCCATCTACAACAGTATCAAGTCGATGGATTGATACGTACGGTTCGTAGATGGCCAACGTTGCCGCGACCGACAAGGATTACGCATTGCGGCCAAGGTCAGCAGCTGCGAGGCGCTTGGCCGCTGCGGCGTCGCTAAGCATGCGCCACGACTTAGACGCCAACCGTGGTCACGCACTAGCGCCTCCAAGCGGTGAATGCTTTACGACATGAAACATGTATGAATGAATTTGAATGCTTTTGTCATGCAGATCGTAGCGCCAAGACATGAGATCCAGCAACGCCTTCCTCTTGGTATAGCACTGCACCTATTGTCACTTCCTTACCCCTATCTATGCGTGCAGCGCCGCTAGCTATGTACCAGGTCTACCCCATATAAGTCTACCGGGCTGCAGGTTGGTACGTAGGTGTCGATGGCAAGAGTGAATAAGAGAAAAAGAGCTTTCCACGGGCATTTTGCTTGGGTTCGAGGACCCTTGCGCCATGCGCCAGACATTATACGCGGGTGCATATGGTCCAAATAGATGCAATGTCCTTTGAACCACACCCGCGTAGAATCGGAAAGTCGTGGCACCACCGGGGATCGAACCCAGCACCAACTGGGTTTTACA